TTGAAAGCCCTAAAACAAGGTTAATTAATAGTCACATCACATAATAAAGATTAGCTAGTAAGGATCTCATATTTAATTCACTGATTATCAGTGGCATACTTGGCACTGATATCAGTGATTATCCATTGATTCAGATTTAGAGAGTACATATACATTGCATACCTTCTTATCTTAAATATAAATAGTCTTCTCTGAAATTCTTTGTTTGATTTAATATTTTTCTTGGAACCTATCTCATATATTACCATACATTTGACCATTTCATATTTGCAAAAATTCACGGGCAGATAACACGCGAATAAGGAACGTCGATCCGTCGATCGTATAATGGTAATATATATACGTCCCAAAATTCGCTCAAAATAATAAAGCAAAAAGTTCTCAAAAAAATAAGTTTATTTTAAGTAGTAGCTTTCAAAATAATAAAGAGTTTATAACCAATTATAGATTACGTTTAGATGGTCGTTAATACTATTGCACGCACAACAGGTAGCTCTCTAGACACAGTCTGTAATTAGCCTTATTTAAGCCCTTATATTTAAAAAAACACTGTTTAAAATAAATATTTACACATAACTTTTTTTACTTAATTTTTCGAGACTATAGTATTCTTGCTATAGTATTTTGAGTAGCGAATTTTGGGATACCTAATATACACACACATATATATATACATATACACACATATATATATGTGTGTGTATATAAATATATATATATATATATGTATATATATAAAAGATACGCACCTATATATTAAATAATAATAATAATGTTAATACTTTGAGAGAATAAATGAATAAATAATAAAGAATTTATCAATAAATATTTCGGTTTAATTAAAGGCTAAAGATAATTAAAGAATAAATGTATAAGATTAAAAAATTATAATTATTATAATAAAAAATAATGATTCGTGCATATGTCACTTGAGTGCAACTATTCAATTTTGTTAATATGTATATATAGGTATGCATCTCTTATTGATACTGTCAATTAATAAGTAGCGATATAATTCCAATAAATTATATTAATAGTTATTTTTTAATCGCATTACGATTATTTGTTAACACCATTGACTAATTTTAAAACAAATATTGCATACGATATCATTACTGCAGGCGTTGCACATTCTTTTATTTAATATCTGTAAGCGCATGTAGTGTGTTATCGATGCGTGACTCATAAACAGGTGACCGATTAACCGTAATCTATAATTTGCCAATTTTAAACCTATATGTGTATGTTTAAAATTACTTCTCAGAACGACAAATGTTTTTATAACTTATTTTTTCGAAAATTTTCTTGTCATGATATTTTGACTTGCAAATTACAAGGCACCCTCTCTATATAGATACAAAAATCTATGCTTATATTAAATTAAATTTACGACCCTATTCTTAACGACTGTAAAAAACTACATGTAGCGTTATAGAATAATTAAGCGGCCCTTAATTAATCATTTATAAGAGTAAGATATAAAATATATATGTAGATTTATTATATATAAGAATATTTTAGAATATTTTTTAAATAAAAATTTTTATATTCGTAAAAATATGAACAAAATTAAAATATGTGCACCAAGCAAGTTAAATTTATTTGGAGAACAAGAGGTGAAATATAATGGAAAGGATATTTATAATAGCTGGTTTAAATTTGCGTACCGCGTTGACATTCACGGAATTATCGTCCTTGGATTCAAATAGCTTTATTCAATTGTACTTTAAACTTTAAACTATTGTCTTCACTTTTCTATATACAAAAGTAATTCAACCCAATTAAAGAAAATTCAAAATTCGGAAAGTGCGGGACTGTAAAAATTATACTTTTTTTTATTTTCTGAAATATGGACTGAAGTTACATAATTAGCACAAATCTAGCACAATTAAACACGATAAAATTGTAAAATTCAAAAGCGCTGCTCTTAGTGCGCTAACTTCACACATGCATAAAAGTGTCTAATAGCGTATTTCACTGGCAGAACCGGTGCGCACTCAGTGCACATTAAAGCTGTTGTACATTAACCTAATCTGACTGGAAAAGTGAGAGATCTCAGTTAATAAAATACCCAATGTATATTTTATCAAATATCACAATAAAATATATTAAGGATTTCATGGTTTAATTTATTTCTATATTTTTATTAAACATACATTTTTACGTCGATTTGTGTACAACAGCTTTAAAGTGCACTGAGTGCGCACCAGCTCTGCCAGTGAAATACGCTATAAGGTTCTCGATGTAGGTAAAAAGTTTATGTGTTTCCTACATTACCATTCCATGCTATTCCATAATCAGCGTTTCTTATCAAAGGAGAAGGAGAAGAAGAGAAGTAAAGAAATGCAATATCATTTCGTAAGAGGCGCTGATTGTTAATCAGCAAGTTGATCATGGTTGATCAACAAACACTGCAAACCTTGCAAACCAGATGCAATGACGTCTTATGTGCCGGATTATTTTTCTCTGACGGATATTTTGTGTACGGAAGAACGAATATCGTGCAAGATAGAAGTTACGCTACCTCGCTTAGGTAAACTTATCAAAATTTTATTACATCTTTTCTCCATTAAAACGGACTTATTTATTAATCTTAAATGTAACATTATAATAAAAAAACAAGTAGAATTTCTTCTTTTATTCACAAACGGAGCATTTCTGCGTAATACTTTTATTAATTAAGATTTTAATTTGAAATTATAATTAAAGTTGCAATAAAATTATCAATTGATTTTTTCTAGACAGATATTTGATTCCTTATGTTAATGTTATTTATTGTGTAAAAAATAGGAATTTATTTCTTTTATAAATATGATTATTTTACATAATTGTGCATAGTTCTTACGATAATATAGTTATTAATTAAGTTCTTAACTTGTAATTATAATAAAAGCTGTAACAAAATTTAACAGCTAATTTTATTCTAAACATCAAATATTTTATTCCTCATGTTATATTTGCATAGAAAATAGGAGTTTGTTTTTATACATATGATCGTTTTACATTGTATTGTATCATGCATATATAGGTTTTTTGGATCTATCCTCTGAGTCAGAGGATCTAAAACCAGGTGCAAAGTTGGAACTTCCATTGTGGTTAGCTCAACCACTAAATAAAGTAAGAGAATCAATAATCAGTGTAGACATTCCCAAAACATACAAGGAGGGCTATAGGTTTGTACTTGTTTGTATATGCGTAGTAGAATTAATTTCTGTTAAGGAAAATTTTCTAACAGTTTGCTTCGCGTATTTATTGTAGAGAAATTTTATTAGCAGACGCTTGTACCGTTGTACTGAATAAATGGAATCCATATTATTACGAACTAGGAATGTATTTGAGGAAATTCAACAATCGTGATTGCGAAATGATAATTGACAGTTTGCTATTAGTAAGTGGTATTAAGCTGTTCATTAATTCACATTCATTGTTTAATTGTTCTGTGTTTTTCAGACTTTCAGATCGCGATTTAGACTGATTATGGACTGGGCACAAAATCCTGTTTCTGACCCTATGCTTATCAGCTTACTGCCAAGATTAGAGAAAGAATTGTTTCTCACAGGCAGGAAGGCCAAGATGCAGTTGAACGAATGGTTAAGGAAAGGTTCATGCATTATTGAAAGTTCACAGAGTGCCGTGAATCTTAAGAAACGAAAGCGAACGGATTATGAATTAGATTAAAAAGTGCACTGCATACGATATATGTATATATGATAAAACAAATATAAAGTACTATAATTATATATTTGTGCGATATAATTTTTTATACGAGTGATTAATATAATAAACGTGATTGTAATATTAAATAAAATTTATTGTTTTATACATTAAAACTACATATCCCTTTATTTAAAGATACAAATATATATCTGTGTAACTTATTACTTATTAAATAACAAATAAAAATTTTATTTATATATATAATATATACATACGTATCTCGTATGGAATCAGTCACATTCGAACTGTCAACAATATATAAAGAATCATACAACAAAAGGTAATAATATCTATTTCACAACCCATGACTAAAAACTGTTAAAATATCTTGGACATATACAATGAAACGCTAATATATATTACACTTCCCAGTGGAATATCGTTTTATTATTAACAATGAAATCACGCGCGTTTTTTCTTGCACTAATTTATACCTTACATTAAACATTAATATTTATTAAACTCTTCGTACAAAAATATAAAATATGTTTGCCGGACTAATTGCGGTATCTACTTATATTAAAACATGTCTTTCATATAGTACTATGTGTTGTGAAACTTTGTTTATAGATATAGACATATATATACACACACACACATATATATATATATATGTGTGTGTGTGTGTGTATATGTTTGACACTGGATACATGTCATGAGAAACCATACAGAATATAATGCAAATATCGAATATTTATAAAATTATTGCAACAAGCAAAAGTCAAATTAGTTGAATTTATATAAACAAAGAAAATACACAGTTGCAAATAAAATTATTATTTGCAAATTTTTATTATCTAATGCATATATATGTTGCATAATTTTTTTTTAATCAAGATTTGTTCGTAATAGCTTTTCAAATCGGGTGCTTTCGAAAATGGAAGCGATTCGCTAGTCCGTCATATTCGCACGAAATTTTCTCATGGTTCACAATTGTTCTCGCGTAATTATAACTTTGTAAAAATCATAACTCAAATCATTATGCGATCGATGTATACAATAGACGTGTATTTGTATTACTCATAATAATCTGTACTCATTATATACTTCTCTATCTCGTTAACTTTAGTTGTTATCCGATTATTATGCTATTGCTTTCTATCCGGCCATATATGTCAACAGTGACATTTTAAAATGAGACTAAAGACTAACACCGCGATAAAGGGTGCCTTCCAACAAGCGACTCAATACAACACGGTGATCACCTTATCCTTGTTTAACATTGGTGAACAACAAGGATGTAATGATGCACTGCGTCACGTGTTATGTGCGTTTCTTGTTTGAAGATACCCAAGATGCACTAGCCATTTTTTTTATTAGGCCGTCGTGCCGGCTTACCGCTCGACATTTGCACACACAAAATGGCCGACATCTGTACACTCCTCATCACTACTGCTACTAACGATAAATTGCATTGCAATGGCGCACTTTTCATTTTGCAGGGGACCCGCATTCGATGATTACGTTAGCGCGTCCCATCAACTATTTTAAGACTATCTATAACGTTTGCTTCGATATCTCTATACTTGGAATGTTATACATATTATTATACGTTGCTGCATCATGCTATTTACATTACATCACGAATTACAACGCTGTTCATCCAATTCGAACTGAACAGAATAGTAGAAAAAAAAATATTATTTTTTCTCATTACGTCAATGCTTGATGTTTCCTATTATTTCCGTCTACTTAACTCGATTTGCAAACTTAATTCTATGTATAAAAATATAATAATCGGATATGACCTTATTTTCTATTCTCTAAATCAGGGTTCGAAACCGACCTTATTTCGGTGAATACGAGTTTCGACATCGTAAAACACAGAAAATCGATCCTTATTAATATTAGTTACATAATAAAAAAGCTATATCAATTATGATAAAGCAAGGAATCCTTCCTTTTGCATACTTTTTGCAAACAGAAACCCATCTCAATTGCATCGGTTTCAATCCCTGCTCCAAATTAGTTGCTAATGATCGAGATAGCATGGAACATTTCAGCAATATTACAATTACATTTTTTTGTGGCATTTTGATGTCGCACAACGCGAGCATCTGATGTAACATATAATTCTACATCAGGTTTGTAATCTTTCGGCTGACAAAATTTGATACTTTGATAAAGCTGTTTCAGCATACTTGGCTGATTGGAAATGTTCAATGCTACCTAGGGATTATTATTGTCAACTGCACGATTATTATTGCAGTACACGTATTATCCTCGTTTTCTGGCCTTTTAGAAATGATCCGAATACTGTCGCGACAGTGGTAATAGCAAGTAAAATAGTGGCAAGACACGATTTTATCGCTTATCCAATTATCACATTCATCTTGATTAGCGATCAATCGTTATCTATACAAGTGAGCAGGCTTTGGCCAATCGTGAACCACAACTAGAAAATGTGATCACTGCCGCGCCGTTAAATTACAATCATATAAATCTGGATATTTTCGCGCTAAATCCTCTCACATGTTGCACAACATATATCGATCTTTCGTCTCTTTCACTTCATCTTATTTTTCGGATCAACAATCACATTTGATTCGACTAACATAATACGAGCTGTTTTGTTAATTGAGCAACAATTTTTGAGCAGAACGTCGTTGGCTATCCAACGGTGAGCTCAGTTACCAAACTAGTCAGAAGCTGGTCTCGGGCTCGAGGCTGGGCTCCTGCTTAAAGTATCTGAAGTCCTGGTTCGGCGTGAGATCCCTCAGAATCATGACAGGCATCTGATCGGTTTGCGGGCTCAAGTCACCAGTGTTCGCCGGCGTCAAGGGGCTGCTGGGACTCTCGTTGCTGCTCATGTAACTGCCCGACGCGGTGTTCGAGATCGGTAAAGGGGTAGCAGTGCCGTTCATCTCCGACGTGGTACCGCCCAGGAATATTTCCTGAAGTAGATTATCGATATGTGCTACCCCGAACAGCCTGACGAACTGGATCTGCTCGACCATCTGCCATGAGATCGATTGCAGAGCTGGTAACATCAATAAAATATCGCCGAAGTGACCTGGTAAATCGCAGCGGTGATCGCTGATGTGATTCTCGAGCTTTATCTGAATGTTGTGGCGCAGCTCTCGAACTGTCTTCTGATCACTCAATCCTTTCGCGTCTGTAAAATACGAGGAATATATGAGGAAGAAGCTTAATTGTTATTAAATAACGGTTGCCAACTCTTTGGTTTTCGGCTAGAAACTGGCTTTTTAAAGGAATCTCCGATTCTCCAGCTGACGGAAAAAAATCTTCAGCTAACCGCTCAAGATTTTAATGACCCTTTTTCTTTTAGATGTGCGCGTCCATTTTCTCCAGTTTGAAAAAGAAATCTTCAGCAGAGAGATCAGATAACAATGACCTTTTTTTTCTTTTAAAGAATGCATTACAAATAACAATTTTCATAGTAGCAATCGATTTTCGACAGGAGAATTGTCGATCTTTAGTAGAATTAATCGAAAAGTGATAAACGTGATCAAGAGTTCAATTGTCATGATTCTCAACTTTGAATCGCGTTAATTATAAATTAACGTAATATATTTAAATAAAGATATCATGATGCAATCATTAAATGAATCGGTTTATTAAATCTCGATGCATCAACGTGAGTTGAGATACGCAATTTTTCCTCTCTGTATCACTGATATCCATAAATAAGCAATGATTTGCGTCGTTTATGAAAGCCTGGTGAAACCGCGAGGCGTGATTGCCTCAACGAGACCGAATTGACCGCAAGAACGTAGAGATTGTGGCGAGCGAATCGTATTCGATCTATATTAACAGCACGCATTTATTGCATCTATTGGTAATATTTTCTATTCCATTCGATTCCGCGTTGCAAATCGCGATCATCGAATTGTCGCGTGGTGATCCTTCGAATTTATAAACGGAACTCACTCGGATCAAAGAACACAATGGCTTTGAGAAAAGCGAACTCCGTGTCGTCGATCTTGATCTTCTGAAACGGTTTCACCAGCTCGTCCATCACCCTGATGCCCACCTTACTGATGTCCAGGTTGTCCTGCTGGTTGCTTCCTTCTACAAATTGCAACGATATTACTGATAGACGCGATTACACCGTTGTTCCTTCGTTTATCCCATAGAAACTGAGTCCGGTGTGGAACAAAAAAAGGAAAAAAGAATACCTGCACCTTGCAGATATTAATTGTAGGTCGGTGCAAAAGATTCGTTCCTCAAATTTCATAACAAATAAATAAACATCTTATTTTTTTAATTTCTTGAAAGAGAATTGAAAAATTAAAATTTATTTTCCTGGATGAAAACAGAGCTATAACTTTGCTGTAAATTTATTTTTGATCTTATAATTGATAAATATGGATGGATAAATATTTAAGGACTTTCTGCACCAACTTATAATACGTATCGCCAAACAAAACATTGATGTTCATGCATTGACATGCATTTTAAAGTGACATATTCAACACACGAATTCCGGACTCAGTCAACCACCTAAGCCCCATAATCGTGCAACGAAAACAGACGAAACATTTAGTTAATAATATAATAAACTATCAGCGCATTGCGATTCATTATTATATGATAAAATAAGCACAAATTTTCGCGATATGAATTAGGACTACGAATGTAGCTGAAAAAATTACAGACTCGGGTAAATTCGATTCTTCGAATATTAAGATTCGATAATTTATTCAAATACTCTTGAGTAATTATCCAGCTCAACATATCTGAATCTTATTTACAATTTCAGTTTAAATTTATTGTTACTCCTCAGCGCGAAGTTGAAATTTAATTGTCGACAAAATGATAAGATTTGCTTGCTCGTGCATTTATCATAAAAAAATTTCGAATTCAATGAGTCGCTTTGCGCGTGACCCTCAACATCAAGCTTTCTTCGATTAAATAAAGTTAATAACAAAGAAAGATAACATATCATCCGAAAATGTTTTACATTGCAAAATACGATTAGCTCGCGACAGATAGATGACGTAACATGGCGTTCCTTTTATTGGTCGCATAATACGACACAACACTATTGTTCTCGTAATACAATAAATTGTTAAATTTTGAACGAAAAAAAAATATTGCATTACGAGAACCATCTGTTTTACAAAGTTATTCCGACTTATAGAAATTAGATTAATACATCGTGATGATTACATGGAAGTACGATTTTGCTAATATCTAAACATTTGGCTGATATAAAAATAATTTTGTTAGGCTATTAAAATAATTGCATAGAAATTTCAAGTACGATGAGCAAGATCACAAAAAATTTTGACATTCTAGCAGCTAGTTTAAGCGTCCTACATAATTATTTTGATGCTCCGCCAAAATTGTTTTCAAATCTAAATCTGTATTTAAATTTTTAGATACTTGAGCAAAATCTCTCTCTGTAACAATCAAACGTCAATGTAAAAAAGTTTCAGGGGTTTAAGTAAAATTAATTCCCATTCAATGATTTCGTGCTTCTTATACAAAAACGCATAAGGCGGTTAGAGAATTACGTGTATATTTATAACACGTTACGTAAATCTAAAACTTACTGCACTAATATGGAAACAAAATCAAATATTAACATAATCGTAACATAATCTCGAATTTGGCATATTCGAGAAGGAAATAGAGGAAAACGGTAGAGAACTTTGATATTCAAAAGATATTTTTATATCTCGCGACTCACCAAATAGATCCGGTATACGAGGAAAGACCTACATGTTTACGATAAAATATTAAAATATTGTGAAATATTATGAAATTGTTAGCGCGTTTTATATATTTATTGGGAAGAAAACTACTTATAAACGAATGAAAGCAATCGCTAGCTCCCTAGCAGTGTTTTTCATTCAAAAAACTCTTCTCCTTCTCTAATGGATGAAATCACTAGTTAAAATTGATACATGGTTATACGGTTTTATTATTACGGGATCATGGGTGAAACGGGATATAACGTTTTGAAAAAAGCGTCGCGTCACGTAAGCGCTCGGTTATCGAATAAACCATGGTATCGGCGACACATATACATAAACGACGAAATTACGTAAGCGAAAAGGTGAAGGTTGCCGTTGAATCGGCTATTTAGAAGAAGAGACTCTCTTTCAAGCGTACACGATTCTCGGAAAAAAATGCTGACGCAGGCTGCGCAAAAGGACGCTCTAATATTGACGACTTTTGTCGATGGTAGTCAAGATATCTTCGCTCGCTTGATAAGAAACCACATATTCATGCTGTTGGAATGTTTCCAATACGTTCTACATGTGGAAATGCTGCTTATATGTATATTTACAGTAAAGATCAATCTTTTCAAATCTTTTCAAATCTTGCTTATTAAAAAGAACAAAAGGCAAATCCTTTGTTTTATCAATTTATTTTGATTTAATATATATGACTTAATAAGAAGAATACGGTGCACTTTACCGAAAAAATTAATCTATTTTAACTTGCAAAATGTAATTCTTCAATTTAGCTGCAATGAAAAAACAAAAATCTTAAATGAAGAAATGTCCTTCGGTCTTTGCCATTGCAGTAGACTTATAAAATCGTTCTCTTTCTATTTATTATTTCTTGTTTAAACGTTTAGTATTTATATTAAATTCTGTATTTTGCAGATGGTATGCATAAAGGGAGACACGATGGATTCATTTACGTAACGCACGCCAGAAAAAAACTGATCAAGATTTACTTAATATTCATCTCTCGTATTTACTTTAACCCAAAAAGGAGCATTATCAATCTCAAAAAATTTTGAAGCGTATCCCCCATTTCGCCCATATGCACACGTTCCGTTGTTATGTATTTAATATCATTATTTAGCGAAGCCAAAACGTGTCATATAAATGTTAGCAATAGCAATAAGCCTGAGCGGAGCGTAGGTTGATGTCGAACGTACTTATAAAACTTTGTCAATATGCATTCATGTGTCTTGACAAACCGAGACTAAGAGGTGAACTTCTGAAAATGCTAAGCGGCTCCCAAAGCATCAATATTATTGTACAATATTTAATATTTTACAATATTATTGAATGACTGAAGGCTTTATTGTGCCTCCAGACTGTTTGTTTTGAAATGTTTAAAGAGGGCATTAATAATATTGTACAAAATAATTGTACAATAATATTGAGCATTTAAAGATCACTTAAGGAGCCGCGTTCGACGAGTCGCCTTCTCTTTTCAAAAACACGTACTCAAGATATTTCTCAGGTATACATATTTTGTCAGGTTTTTGTCAGGTTTTTAGCGGGTATACATGCGGAATTTTCGCTCGACGCTCGCTCTGCTCGGAAAAGAAAAAAACTTTAAGAACAACAAAAACCGTGACACCCATAGTAAATCTGTAAACTCTGCATACCAGGACAATTCCTCATAATGATGCAATCGTTGCCGAGTAGTAGCACGTCCGTAAAGTTCCTACTACGCCTAGCCACCCCCAGCAACAGGTGCTCGCCCGCGTGGGCCCTCAGCAACGCTACTTGGTCATCTAATGACAGCGCTTTGAATTCGTCGAAGCACTTGGCCCACTCGATCAGGATCAATAGTTGTTCCCTCATGCTATCGCACACGTCGTTTATCCCAGCTATTCGTTTCGTGCTGAGATCAATTTCGCCGTTCGGACTGTCTGGCTGCTGAAGCTGTATGAATTGAAAGTATTGTTTTATCAACATATTTCCATATTAATGCAATATTTTGCAAGAACTTTTATTGTGCGTTTTCTCGTTTCTGATGTCATAGTCATAGTAGTGGTTCTTTTTTTCATCTAATAATAATTAATCATAAATAATTTACAACGTTAATTTTAAGTGTTAAAAAAGAATGTTTAAAAAATGACATTCTTTGGGTAAACGTATTTAACTGTAAGCTTGTAAGATATGATAACTTCATTTTATTACTGTTTCATTTTCAAAATAAGAAATTAAGTATATTCGTCGTCGAATTTAAGAATTCAAAAAATTGTATAACGTTTGTTTGACGAATGATAACAAGTACTGGCTAAGCGCATGATATTCATGAAAATGAACAGTAACGATTAAACAATGCGCCGAATTTTTATGCGTGTTTTAACGAATGAACAATATATAAATATTTAATTTGACTAGAGGTCAAGTCACTCACCTCTAACCCGCCAACATGCTTGCTGAGCATTTCGGCGCGTGCATCCGCCTTCACTACGTCCTCTTTCGACGGGCCCTTATTCTTATCAGGCGGATCTTCGTTGCTAGGTCGTCGACAACTTATCCGGTCCCTTTCGTTTTGTACGGCTGTGAAAATATTATCAGGAATTTTTAACATAAGCTCCCTACTTGTCGAGCAGAAAAGTAAAGAAAATATAACTGTAAGAGTTAGTTTTGCATAAAAAAAAGTTTTTAAATCGAGTGTTCTTTCTCACACATATTAAGCAAGAGAGGGGACACCAGAGTGACGGGTCGAAAAATAAGTTGTCTTTAGCATGCAATTATGTTGCTAATAATTTACTTTAACAATTTAATTTGGCACGAATTAAAAATTTACATTTTAAATAATATTAAAAAAAATAAGTTAAAAATATTAATCCCTAGTTGAGATATAATAAAAACATCTTAATAAATTTTATGATTGATATGATTCCTTGATTTCTAGGCATTTGGAACAAATCATTTTGGTCTCATTTTAATCTTAAATGATATTCTAAAGTCATGATTAGATTTTCAACGAAAATTTCGTAACTTAAATGGTCGCCATTTTGTTGAAAATTGTTTTAAAACAATTTCGGACGAAATTGGTGTCCTTAAGGAGGTAGTCGAGTAAATTGAAAATTTTACGAAAATTCTAAAAAAATTAGCATATGTTGATCGTATGCATAACAATCGTTCCTTAAAATTTCAGATGTCGTAGCCACAGGATAAGCGAAATATTTCGTTTCAAAGTTTACGAATTTAACATGTAAGCCCTATTCCATGCCGTCATGAAACGCACATTAAAATTTGATATGAAAGGGATCGGAATTTACGAACTTTTTAAAAAACTGATATGTTGTATATAATAATGTTAGCAATGATATAAACAAAATTGGTGACTCGTAGCCACATACTTTTTTAATAAAAGCGATATGAAAATAATGATATTCGTCAGAAGAAGAGGGGGTTGCGTACATATGTGGCAACGTCGCTCATCGATTCAACCGAACGGAATCTCCCACATGGCATATTATGACACATCATACATAACCAAAACAAGTGTTTTTCTGAATTATGCGGATAAAATATTGTAAAAAAACTGGAATATGAATTATAAGTTACAGTGATAGGTATGTTTTGGGGAAACAGGACGTTGCCACATCCTTTGTCAACACGAATGGTACAGGACAATGAGTGTGTGCGTGAAGCGATCTCATTGGTCAATGCTGTATCATTGCATCAAAAATTTTAGCCGTTTGTACACGAACTAACTTTTGGAAGTGACTGTCACTCGACTACCTCCTTAAATATCCTACAAACATGCCATGCTTTTGAAAGCAAATTTCGTAGTGCGCGACAAACGACTTCGCAAAACCAAACTCACCCTCTTTCTTCATGCCGGCTCTGAAGCATTTCCGTAATCGACAGTACCTGCATTGATTTCGCTTATCCCTGTCAATCGGACACTTCCTTTGAAATCTGTATTAAAAAAAAGAGGGGTGATATTTCCTTCAAGGAATCAAGCTTCGCTACATTGCACTTGCTTTGCAACTCAAGGTTGCTAAAATACGTGTCGGATAACCGATTTAAAATATTATAATACATGCAAACAAGTATACCTGCATGTGTACTGATGATTTTTTCTGACAGATCGGCGGAAGAAACCCTTACAGCCATCGCAAGATGCAGCGCCATAATGCTTCCCCGTGGCGCGATCGCTACATATGGCGCATGTTTGTGAAAGGGCGGCATTGACTCCTGGACCGGGAAGAGCCAGGACAGGACCACCCGCTGCACCTGCTCCCATGCCCATATCTGCGTCTGCAACATGAAACAAATATTCTCTTCATTTTCTTCTTGACATAGTACACGTTGAGCGACGTCTTTATTTTTTTCAGGGGCGATGAAGCGATTAACACTAGCAATAGATCAAATCCTTGTTTTAAATTTTAGAACATTTTAGTTATTATATATAAATTATTTAAAATCAAAAATTTTTTTTAAATTTGAAAGTGGAGAATATTTGAAACTTTTTAACATGTAAGAAAAAAATTTTCGTAAGGCTGCACACGAATATGTACGTTAAAGCAATCATAATTCTTAAAAATAAATTCGTTATCTGTGTCTGCATAAAAAAAGAGGCCACTTGAGATAAGAAAATGTAAAGTCTTATAACACAGGAAATATATATTTTTTAAATATTCAAGTCCTTCAAAAAAAATATTCAAGAGTTTTTAGATTTTCAATAACTTTTCAGTTTCAAATAGTATTCAAAATATTCAAAATTTTTTCGTCATAAAATGATTCAATATATGATTCATTAATTTAATTAAAGTTAATATATTACCATTATTAATATTATAATCGTAATATTATTTCACTAATATTATTATAATAATATAATATTATTAATTTGAATAAAATTAACATATACCGGTCGTATATACATAAGTAAATTTCGGTATTGAATAGAGGAAATATAAAAACAAATATAATCACTCTATTTTATCTCGCAGTACAATTAATAGGAATTGATGTCTTCTTTTATACATAATGTGCACAAAAGTTCGAAAATAAAAAGATATTATAATAAAATTATTAACATTATGATATTAAATCGAGGAATTATATATTAAATATTAATAGTTATGCTTTCCGACAATGATGTTGTGCCATGTTTATTGTGATGGGAATAGTTTTAGATTCTAATAATATGCATATATACTACCGCCGATACTGGGTCGGTAAGGGTTAATTATGCAAATCTCCGCGAACCTTGAGAAAATGCATACAACGATAATGTCACGTAAATGATAAAACGCGTAGCGAATGTTTAATTAATTCAATGCTAGGATTGATTCTCACATAACATGTAAAAGTAAGCATTTGAGAGTCTTTTGATGGTTTTCAAATAATTATGATAAAATAAAAATATACATAAAAATTCTTTAAATAGCTCGAATTGCTTCGAATTATTTAAAACTAATTATTGAAAGTGTGTGTGTGTGTGTGTTTCAGAAACATCCAAAAAAATTTTTCCTGGAAAATATCCATTCCATATATTGTTAAAATATCCATTCAAAATATTGAAAATAAAACTTAAAAGATAAAATTGATACTAATATTATTTACGTCTAATATTATTATTTATTATATAAAATGGAAAATGTATTGAGATAAATTATATAAAAATTATATTATAAAAGAAAAAAATATTATATCTTCAAAATTTCAAGAGACTTTCAGTATATTTAAAATATTCAAGATTTTCAGAAATCTTTTGGTTTCGAAAGTATTTTAAAAAAGATTGTCATCACATATTCGATGTGCCTTCAGTCCATTATAGGAAATATATATATATGTATATACACTAAATATTTGCTTAGTATGTTTACAAAATTTTTCACATTGTAATTCCTATTCATATGCGATGTTAAATAAAAATTTATGATTTATTATTAATGATTTATTATAAATTATGCTTAATTCTAATAACATCTAACAATACCATGTAGACCGAGTGGTGTAAAAATTTATCCAGGCTATTTCAAGACAGTCTTCTTATCTTATTGAGAATATAAATATAAATATATAAAAGATATTAAATATGACTTAAAATTATTTACATTTATTATTAATTACTGTATTTATTACAAAAGATAATTCTAATAGATAAATCTTGATGATGAGAAATAATGCGAGAAATAATATTATGATGATGGAAGATAACATTATAATAAAACTTTAAGTATGTCAGTTGTGATGAAATATTAAAAATTTACAAAAGATTGTGTACACGTGAAAGGAAAACATTTTCGTAAACAATTTAACGAATGCAACCGCTTAATTGTTATTCTTTCTGTTTTAATTATAATTAGGTCACTGCATGTAAAATTCTAGGTTGCGAAAATTAGTGAGACGCTCTTATACTATATATTAGGTTAAACTTAGTTTCCGCGGCTCACATTTAGATGACGCTAGTTGTAGGTGTAATTTACTTTGACATCTGAAGTTGGTTGCATTTTAGAGGGTAGACATTTGTCAATAAAATTCAGTACGAAAAGATTTATTTAAGCGAACAGTACCATTTTTTTTTGTTATTAAACATGAAACGTGATAAGTTGTTTTTTCGACATGTGCTGCTTCATTACTTTGATTTGAAAAAAACTGCAGCTGCAGCTCATAAATTGCTTGTCGAAGCTTATGGCAATTATGCTCCATCGGAAAGAACATGCCAGGTTTCAACGATTTAAGAGTGGTGATTATGATGTGAATGATAAACAGCACTCAGGTCAACCAAAGAAGTTTGAAGACACCGAATTACAAGCATTGGACGAAAACTCAATGAATTGAATTAATAACTGGTTTCTATTAGAATTTTATGAATTACCATTGATTCGAACAAGATAAATCCATATTATTAAAATTGTTAATTGGATTCTTACAATTTTCAAAGAACCGTTGACGTAACATCGACATATCATGTGAACTCAATACTTCACCGCGTGAACGTTTTAATTCTTACTTTTAATTAACCCTCGTGCGTGCCGTCAAGGAATACCGGAGATACAGATATCGCGCAAAAGACGTAGATTCGAGGCCTTGGAATAATTTATAATATGCGATATAATAGAGTTAATTGATACGTGATATTATTTTGCTCCTTATCTCTTCCCTCTTGTTATAAAACTTATAATCCGCAGTTTCCTCTTCTTTATTGCTCAATTTGCAAAATATGCCAGATTTATTTATAATTGTGAGAAATATTTGCTTCTATATAATGCCAAATGAAAGGAAATCCCCAATGCGAGATCAACCAGATTAAAAATTGCGATACCGATCCTCCCTCCTTCCTTTTAATAATTCTCGAGACATGTATTGTTGTATGTGCAGCGTAGATATTATTTAGTTATTTTCCATATAAAAGAAAAGAGCATGTCATAAACACACTGAGTAGTTCTTTTTTTAGTTTTAAATCTGTTCTATATCTTTTTATATTTTACTTCAGATAATTACATAATTGTCTGTATATTTGAATATGAAATCTGATATAATAAATAGCAGGATATTTAAGATCATGTCAATGATAACGTCAAATGAGAACAATCTTCATTACGGATCCATTTCTGTTTGAGTATTACGTGTGAAAATCACATCGCTTATCGTCATTAATGCAATGGCTTATGGAAATTCCTGATCTTATCGGATGGATCTAATCTTGGAAAAGCAAAAAATAACGGAAGTTAGATAAATTTATTTCGATTTTTTGCCATTGCAAAATTGTATTCTCAATCGTATCTTTGCTTCTGAAAAAGCGTAACTTGTTAAAGACGTCTTTTAGAAACTAGATAGCGGCGCTACATAAAAAAATAACGCAGCAGAAGCAGCGCAAGTATTTTAGAATTAGATTATAAAGATGCAAGCAAATATAAATTAAGGAAATATTAACTTCGAAAAATAGCACGAATAATTGTATTAATAAATTTTAAGAATTTATTTTTAAAAAAAGAATCGGATTGGAATTAAAAAATATTGATATTTATTTCATATACTTTACTATACATATATATCGAAAGTCTCATTATTTGATTATATCACAATTTTTTTGTTCACATATTTGTTGAAATTGCCTGTTTGGATGTTCTGAGTTTAATTCATTTCCAAGAAAAAATAGTGCATTTCAAGTGTTACTACATTTTAATATCCATTTCTATTAACGTTAGATTAACTTTAAACTAAGTTTCATCATAGACGTAATAAGACTAGACTGTGCATTCCTTGGAATTGTCGCTTGAACGATAGCTTAGAAAGAACAAGATAGCTTGAAGTATTACTTTCTATGTCTAAAATATCGAGTTAAAGAGAATTGAAGAGACATCTTAATACATATGTTCAATTCTTTCTAATAGAGCATAGCAGTTAATTGTAAGACAGGGAATGTGCAATCTATTCCTATTATCTTTTTCTAGTTCTAAGAATTAGAAAAAGATAAATAAAATAAACCAAAACTACAATAAATGTATATTGGTAGAAATGGATATCAGACGTGTTGTCGTGTCGCGCGATAGATTTTCTTTGCTCGTAATTCTAGCGATCTCCGAGCATGATAGAAATACAGAGCAAAGCTTTCGAAATCGGTTGCGCAACAATTATTTATTGGCTTATTAAATACATTTCCATAGCCTCGCGAGGGAAGGTAGGAAAACATAGTTGTGTTACGTATTATAGGCAAATAGAGAGCAATTACAATTCGCGATGAATGATTACTTGAGTAGAAGTGGTACACAAAAAAACCGCTTGTACATACAATGCAGCACGTGTCGCTAAAATTATCGTCAAACACATGACGGATTTATGCATTAAATTTTTTTTTTTTGAACGCAATAGCTCACAGTCACGTTGAATATTTAGCGCTAAACGTGGCTGTACGATTCCTTTCTAAGAAATCCATTACGACAAAGTTCAATGCAATCAATAAACTTAAACCTTACTAATTTATTCTATTAAATAAGAAATTATCCAATACTGTTACCCAATACCATTACTTAATACATATTATTTTCTAGTCAGTGTATGTAATCTTCTATTAAATCATTTAGAATAATTTTAAAAAAGTGACAGCAATTTCAAAAGAGGAATATTCAAAGGAATTTCGTTCAATAAAATTTGCGAAAGTGTCGAGACTACTGTCAAATTTAGAAATAAAAGAATTCACGATTCCATACCTCTTGCTCTAAAAATTCTTTTCATGTATTGAAGGACAAAAATTTCAGTATTTTATAGCTTACACAAATGTAAATCTACCAAGATTTATTTTTAAG